GCAATCAAATTCACTAGCTCAGTAAGGGACCAGTCATTATTAATGCCGGGTAGGGGGCCGGAGGAAATTTAGAGGGGCCACAAAAAGTTTTGACCATTGAAGTGGGGGGGGGGCAGAAAATATTTTGAACATAAAGGGGGGGGGGCAAAAAATAAAATCTATGGAATAGTTTGTAACATGTAATATCAAAAGAGTAATGTAATATACAGTATACATACATACATTGAACAGTAATGCCCAATATATTGAACCTAAAGTTGTGTTCTAACTACTATATATGGAAATTGTCATCCTCATCATCACCGTAGAATTTGTCTGAAGGGTCATGCACTGTATTTGCAACTATGCAAGATTCAATTGACAGTTGTTGTCCTGTTTTACGCTTTTTAACACAGCGGACCTCTTTGGGATGTTCTGTTTCTGCATGTTGTTGACAGTCTCTTCTGCCATCTCTTCAATATAATGCTTCCACCAGACACAAATGTTTTTTTATCAATTAGTAAAAGACTAGGCCTGATGTGTGTTTTTTTTGTTTGAGGGCCAACAACTTTTCAGGTATAAAGTCTGAATTGTCTATTGTGTCTATTGTGAAACTAAAGTCACTCCTGTCCACCTTGGCTATCATTTTCAATATTTACAATATTCTTTACAGCTGCAAGTAAACTGAGTATGAGGGCAGGAAAAATGCTTACGAAACTGACTTAGATTCATTGAATTCAGAATTGGGGGGAGGGGGCTATGAAATATGGTGCCTCAATGGGGGGGGGATAAATTTTGATTTTGTTAGAAAAATAAGGGGTCATGAGAAATTTTTGCTATTCATAAAAATTTCCTCCAGCCCCCTACCCGGCATTAATAATGACTTGTCCCTAAAAACAATCCGTAAGAATCATTTACAAAAAAAATCATGTACTGGACATGTATTTCCACAACCAAGTGGAATACACAAAGAACTACAGCAAGAATGTTTTTATTAATTAACCTAACTGTGGATCCTTCCTCTCTCTTGAACAAATTGTTATCTTTGCCTGTCATTGTCTTGACTTTCTTGGAATTAGTTACAGAGAAACTATGATTAACTAGTGGATAATGATTCACCATTTCAGTACTATGTAAAAATACTTTAATTAGTACACATGCAGATGCAGTTTTATGGATGAGAAGAAGTATCCACAATTTTGATAATAAATGCTGTTTTTGAGGTGGGAAATGTGTAATAATATTAGTGTAATATGATTGTTGTCTTTTGTCTTGCAGGAATTATTGGTTATATTGCGGGCATCACAGAACATGGGACAAGGCATTAAAATACAGAATAGCCAAAAGCAAAGTCATAATAATTAATACCACAGTAACTTAATTATCTGATGGCAATCATAGATGGATTTTTTGGGGGGATGCAGGTGGTGTGCACCCCAAAAATATTTTCACCACCTCAGAACGTTTTCCCACCCCACCTAGAGATATTTGCACCCACCCCAGAAATTTAAATGCTGGTTTGATTAAATGACAGCAGTATAATTGAACTAAATAAGACTTAAAACAAGGCCAAAAATCTTGAAATATCCTGGGGGTTGGTGCCCCCAACCTTACCCCAACTCTGTCCCCACTAGTGACTGTACCCTCAGCATGGGCATACAGGAAGGAAAAAATTAGGTGGACGGAAAGAAATTTGCCTGACTTTTTCGGATTGTGCCCGGGTTGTCAAAAAAAAATTTCCAGAGAAACTTTCCGAAATTGTTGTCAACAGGGGGGGAGGATGCTACGAAAAATTCCTATTAGATAGCATATTTCCCACAAAATTGACAGAATAATAAGCCAATACTGCCCAACTGGCTTTGTTTGCCCAACAAACTGGGGGGGGCACACCCATGGTAGACCCCGGTAGACCCTGCTGCATCTTACTCAGCACACCATGTGCTCACTTTCCACCCCTGAATTTTTCTGCTCACCCCCACCCCAAGCAAAATTTGAAAATGTCTATAGATTATGGTGATGATAACATAAAAGTATAAACCTTTATTACCGTAAGGTAATGTTAATTAATTAAGAATATTAAGTTAACACATGCTCCACTACATCATTTTAATTACAATAATTTTAGTGTTAATTTAAAATTATTCACTGTTAATAATTCTACTGTATTGAAGAAGTTCAAATAAAATAGTTCAAAATTAATCCAGCTTTTGTGTCTTCAATTTCCATACATCTTGCTTGGTACTGCCCTACTTTTACTTGTCAATGTCAGAGCCACTCTATGGGTTAATTGGGAAACCAGAGTGAGTCAGGACAAATGCCAAATTATGACATGACAATTGTGAGATAATTCTGGAATAAACAAAAATATATTATATGTTGTAACTTTGAGCACAAAAATGATGATGGGAAAAACAAAACAATGTGACTCAACTCCAAACCAGAGACACAGAACCATTGGTGCAATTATCAGGCTTTTAATGGTATAATAATCAAAAGTGGCCAGGATACAAGGTACCTTCCCAGTGCAAGGGAAGCAACATACAGTAGTTGGTGTTCCAAATTGTTAAACCCATTAAGCTGCAGACAGGGCCGTACACAGGATTTTTTCACCGGGGGAAGGGGGGAGTAAGGCCTATATGCCGAAAAAGTCCCAAATATCCAAAGAATAATTAATGAATTCTAAAAATCGTGAATATAGTTTTCTCTGGGGGGCAGTTGCCTCCCTTGCCTCCCCGCTGTGTATGGCCCTGGCTGCAGAGCTTCCCCAGTGGGGCGCATTGCAGCTCAATTGGTTAATTATAAAGGTTATGATAGACGTTATGTACCACCTGAGCTTTCATCACCCCTACAACCCTCTGCCCCCCAACAATGTGTTATAAATGGCCAATGTACTACCTTTTCATCATACAGCAGCAACATTTTCTTGGGGGGGGGATCCAAAAATCTTGACATTGATTAGCCTTGTATGCAAAGTTGGCACATATTACACAAAACCTGAATATATTTAAACACATACCTGACATACCGTTTGCTTTGAAGGAACGTCTGGAGTTACTGTAATACCATTTTCTAAAGTACAGTATAGATAACAAAAAGTTTTAGTTTCTGCAACCAAATTTTGAAATATACAGATAACAGATTGCCAAATTACACCAAAAAAACCAGCAAAAGGCTGTTTTCTTAACAAAAAGATTGCATTTCATCGTCAAGCTTAAGTTAAGCCTACCAATTTTATGTGAGATAAGATAAAGCATAAATAAAATTGAATGAAATACCTGTTTATAGCTCGCTGATTCAAATATCCTCTTTGGCTTTGCTCACATTTTGCGAGGACAGCGAGGTTTGAATTTTGTTGTCTTTCTCGGGAAGAATAACTCGTATGACTTGCACATCTTTGAACCAATAACCAAGTTTAGAAAAAATATCTCGAAAACATTTTAAAAATCGATTCAAATATCGAGAAAATACTACAAAACCCGAGCAAAATTGCAAAAATCTAAAGTTTTTTAAAGAAAACCAGGGGGTGTGGAAATTGTAGCGGGCTCAGATCCGAGCCTGGTCAGTGGTAATTACCATGAGAAATACGGACCAGTTGTCATGGAGATGGCGTCAGCAAAGGCCGAAATCCGCCATGTTTTTGGCTTCACTTTTTTTTCCCGTGCAGGTCCTCCAGTAATATAGTATAGCTCAGTGACGGTGACATTCACGTGACCGACTTTTCAACATAGGTTGCCAAGCGCACGAATCGTCTTTGAAGTTTGCCGCGTTTCCTAACCATGTTCCCCCCTATATAAACTATGGAGGAACCAAGCCTAGAAGGCCTAGTTGATTTCCCAACAACATGGCCAAAACTGCCCTGAAACTGCCCTGGTTGCGAAATGCCCAATTATTGCGTTCTCAAACAGAATTACTTGCAACTTAACGGCGAATTTAAACCGATACAGGTAAAATAAACTCATTTATAGTATAAACTTACTATTTTTATTTGTATACACGTCTAGAAAATCGGGGTTTTTATCATAAAGTTCGAAGCAACACTATTATTTAATATGTTGACATTTACTTGACAGTTGACAAGGTGTAGCGAAAGCACAAAATGAGTCAAAATATATACCAAAAGTAGAATCTTTCATGAAATTTTGTCTTATACACAACTACATTAATAGTATTTTCTCAATTTTGGCAAGAAGCAGTCTTGTGTTTGTAAAATATACAAACACATATACAATTATAATTTATTAAATAAAACGGATACATATATTATTAGCCCGTACAGTACTGTATATAAAAACGTACATTGTTTCCAAATGGTATATCCGTAATATTTGAACAATAATTTCAAATTCCTCATTCCCAAATATAGTTATTCAAAGCAAAACAGTAGATTGTCTTGCGAATAAAAGAATTATTATTTTGTGCTTTCGCTTCACCTTGTCAACATAATAATAGTGTTGCTTCAAACTTTATGATAAAAACCCCGATTTTCTAGACGTGTATACAAATAAAAATAGTAAGTTATACTATAAATGAGTTTATTTTACCTGTATCGGTTTAAATTCGCTGTTAAGTCGCAAATAATTCTGTTTGAGAACGCAACAATTGGGCATTTCGCAATCAGGGCAGTTTCAGGGCAGTTTTGGCCTTGTTGTTGGGAAATCCACTAGGCCTTCTATTTTTTCGCTCGCGTCAGGCTTGTATCCTTCCTCCGCCCCGCCCCCAAATCACCTAGTCCCAGTCTTTTCATGTGAAAAAGCGCTGAATATTAAAAAAATATCAATAAAAATAGAAGGCCTAGGTCTAGGCTGGGGCCATTCAACATGGCGGCCGTCAGCTCACTGCAGCCACTGATATATATCAGTGACTGCAGCCATGACTGCAGCTCACTTCCGGCTTCACTTCTGAACACCGGATGCTCTATGAGTGGTTGAAAACAATTGAACCTATCATTCTATCAAGTTACATACAAAGATATTTTATAAAAGACCCCCGCAATTAAAGAAGAGATACAGAATATTGAAAACATGAATTCATTGCTCAAGTTAGGCGTTATAATAGCAATGGTTGGAATAAGTTATCGATTATTGAGAGTGTTTATTGCCGGTGGAGTTTGCACAAGCAAGGCAAGGATGTCTGGCAAGACAGTCATTATAACCGGAGCAAACTCGGGAATTGGTAAAGCTACTGCAGTTGACTTAGCGAGACGTGGTGCGAGAGTAATCATGGCATGTCGTGACCTCGAGCGAAGCAAAACTGCTTTGAACTACATTGTTAAAAAAACAGGTAGTTCAAGTGTAATTTTAAAGCACCTAAACCTTGCCTCGATGAAATCCATCCGTGCATTCGCCGAAGACATCAACACAAACGAGGCTAAGCTTCATGTTTTAATAAACAATGCCGCACTAATGAGTGGCCGAGAACGGGAGGAGGCAGAAGATGGACTTGAATTAACAATGGCAGTGAATCATTTCGGACACTTTTTATTGACAAATTTACTTCTGGATTTATTGAAGAAATCAGCGCCCTCACGCGTTGTTGTTGTCGCATCAATTGCCCATCATAATTATATGGAAACTCGATCACCTTTCAGATTTGATAATATGCACAGCGAAATATTTTACACTCTCTGGGAAGCTTATGGTCAAAGTAAGTTGGCGAATATTTTATTTACTCGTGAGTTGGCAAGACGTTTAAGTGGCAGTGGTGTTACAGCGAATTCACTTCATCCTGGAATATCTAAAACAGGGCTATTCAATTTTACCCGCCATTTTGGATGCCCAGAGAACATAGGAAATTTGTTGTCACGAGTTACAACTTTAATTTCCAAGACAGCTGAAGAAGGGGCACAAACGGTCATACATTTAGCTGTGTCTGAAGAAGTCGAGGGCACCACTGGGAAGTATTTTGTGGATTGTAAAGAACAAGATCCGGCAAAAACAGCACAGGATGACGTAGCAGCAAACAGATTGTGGCACACCAGTGCTGAACTTGTAGGGTTAGGGATAATGACTAAAAAAGTATGAATTACTGGTGAAATGGACGTAATATGGAATTGCGTCACAACATTCCTTTAGTCACTTGCCACCTGGCCATATCCTGCTGCATTCTTGACTTTAGTTCGAAGTTCGAGACATAATATGAAAAATTTCGGTAAATATTCAGTTGGGCATTTGATCGCTTACACGCGTTTTGCTAAAACAGAAATTATTTTAGCAAAAGCATATATTCAATTATGCCATTGGAAATTGCATTTATGAAGTTCAGTTATGCTATTATGATATTCGATATTATGATATTCGAATTTCATTCGGCGTGAAACAGTCATATTATTGAAATTTCATTCGGCGTGAAACAGTCATTATTGAAATAGTCATTCGGCATGGCGCTCAGAAACCAAAATTCGACTTCCGGTTTAGCGAGAAAAGCACGCGGGAATTGTAATTTCAACATGGCCGAAGGCGAAGGCAATTTAAGTCAACAGCGTGCTGTTTCTTTGTTGCAAGAAGCGACAAGATTGATCAGAGAATATCCTGGATCATCAAATGATGTTTCTTCAGCACAAGTTGCGAGTCCAAATGTAATTTCTCAAAGCGAATCGCATGCTACTACATCATCTGGCGGCACTGCCGTCAATACATCAAATCCAGAAAGAGTGTTGGGGAATTTTAGAAATCGTTTTGCGCCGTATGGGTATACTGGTCGCCGATGTCTAAGTTCCTCAACCCAGTTGTTTCCAGAACGTCTACAACACTTATATTTCTGTCTTGTTGAGTTAACTTGCCTTCGACTTCGGTCATGGCGGAATTTAATACAATTTCCCGCTAAACCGGAAGTCGAGTTTTGGTTTCTGAGTGCCATGCCGAACCGGAAGTCGAATTTTGGTTTCTGAGTGCCATGCCGAATGACTGTTTCACGCCGAATGAAATTTCAATAATGACTGTTTCACGCCGAATGAATTCGAATAACATAATATCGAATATCATAATAGCATAACTGAACTTCATAAATGCAATTTCTAATTGCATAATTGAATATATGAATTTTGGCGGATATCACACCTCATATTTTTCGACCCACGACTTATACGAACGACGCACGACTTTTTACCAACGACACACGACACTTGTGAGTAATGCTTATCAGTTGATTTGTTAACTGATTTCCATCACAATTTGAATTTTGTTATTTGTTAACGAAATGCATATTTTATTCATCCAATCCCACAGTAATTATACTAGTTGGGATTGGAATCTTAACGAAATGCCTGTTTTATTTATTGATATCTGTATGACTGTATCAGAATATAATACCAATCCCACAGTAATTATACTAGTTGGGATTGTAATCTTAACGAAATGCCTGTTTTATTTATTGATATCTGTATGACTGTGTCAGATTGGAATCTTGACGAAATGCATGTTTTATTCATCGATATCTGGATGACTGTTTTAGACTATAATACCAATACACAGTAATTATACTAGTTGGGATTGGAATCTTGACGAAATGCATGTTTTATTCATAGGTATCTGGATGACTGTATCAGACTATAATACCAATCCCACAGTAATTATATACTAGTTGGGATTGGAATCTTAAGGAAATGCATGTTTTATTTATTGGTATCTGGATGACTGTATCAGACTATAATACCAATCCTACAGTAATTATACTAGTTGGGATTGGAATCTTAACGAAATGCATGTTTTATTCATTGATATCTGTACGACTGTATCTGACTATAATACGAATTCCACAGTAATTATACTAGTTGGGATTGGAATCTTAACGAAATGCATCTTTTATTCATTGGTATCTGGATGACTGTATCAGACTATAATACCAATCCCACAGTAATTATACTAGTTGGGATTGGAATCTTAACGAAATGCATGTTTTATTCATCCAAACCCTCAGTAATTATACTAGTTCGGATTGGAATCTTAACGAAATGCATGTTTTATTTATTGGTATCTGGATGACTGTATCAGACTATAATACCAATCCCACAGTAATTATACTAGTTGGGATTTGAATCTTAACAAAATGCATGTTTTATTGATCCAAACCCACACTAATTATACTAGTTGGGATTGGAATCTTGACGAAATGCATGTTTTATTCATTGGTATCTGGATGACTGTATCAGACTATAATACCAATCCCACAGTAATCATACTAGTTTGGATTGGAATCTTAACGAAATGCATGTTTTATTCATCCAAACCCACAGTAATTATACTAGTTGGGATTGGAATCTTAACAAAATGCATAGTTATTCATCCAAACCCACAGTAATTATACTAGTTGGGATTGGAATCTTAACGAAATGCATGTTTTATTTATTCGTATCTGGATGACTGTATCTGACTATTATACCAATCCCACAGTAATTATACTAGTTGGGATTGGAATCTTAACGAAATGCATGTTTTATTCATTGATATCTGTATGACTGTATCTGACTATAATACCAATCCCACAGTAATTATACTAGTTGGGATTGGAATCTTGACGAAATGCATGTTTTATTCATTGGTATCTGGATGACTGTATCAGACTATAATACCAATCCCACATTAATTATACTAGTCGGGATTTGAATCTTAACGAAATCATACATGTCCAATACCTATGCAAGATGTCCAATGGAATAATCAAAAGGCCATTGGACATTCCATTTGTCAAATGGATCAAATGGACCTCCAATTTTCCATTGGACTTTTGCTTGTCCATTGGATCCAATGGACAAATGGAATGTCCATTGGCCAGCAATGGATCAACTATCGGAACTATGCATCACCCGAATAACAGACCATGTGAAGGTTGCCGATCGGAACAATGCATCAACCGGATAAGAGCTTCCGCGTTTTTACCATTACGTAATTAACAGGTTGCAAGACTCCATGTGGACATATTATGAAACCAGAGAGATGTTCCAATGGTCCAATGGATCCAATGGACCAATTATTGTCCAATGGAATTTTACCTGTCCATTGGATCCAATGGACAAATTAGCCTTTCCATTGGAAAATTACCTGTCAATTGGTCCAATGGGAAAATAATATGGAAGTCAATAGACATTTCTTATATCAATAATATAACAATATGTTATTGCTTCGTTCTTAAAAACTCACGCAATATATCAACATAATTTTGCTTCGTTCTCAAGAAACCACGCGCACATAACACGGGAACTGGAAGATCCTTACATGAATAAATAAATATAATATGTTGTTGCTTCGTTCTTAAGAACTCACGCAATATATCAACATAATTTTGCTTCTTTGTCAACTAGAGACCACGTGTACATAACACGGGAACGGGAAGATTTCTTATATCAATAATATAACAATATGTTATTGCTTCGTTCTTAAAAACTCACGCAATATATCAACATAATTTTGCTTCGTTCTCAAGAAACCACGCGTACATAACACGGGAACGGGAAGATCCTTACATGAATAAATAAATATAATATGTTGTTGCTTCGTTCTTAAGAACTCACGCAATATATCAACATAATTTTGCTTCTTTGTCAACTAGAGACCACGTGTACATAACACGGGAACGGGAAGATCCTTATATGAATAAATAAATATAATATGTTATTGCTTCGTTCTTAAGAACTCACGCAATATATCAACATAATTTTGCTTCTTTGTCAACTAGAGACCACGTGTACATAACACGGGAACGGGAAGATCCTTACTATGAATAAATAAATATAATATGTTGTTGCTTCGTTCTTAAGAACTCACGCAATATATCAACATAATTTTGCTTCTTTGTCAACTAGAGACCACGCGTACATAACACGGGAACGGGAAGATCCTTACATGAATAAATAAATATAATATGTTGTTGCTTCGTTCTTAAGAACTCACGCAATATATCAACATAATTTTGCTTCTTTGTCAACTAGAGACCACGTGTACATAACACGGGAACGGGAAGATCCTTATATGAATAAATAAATATAATATGTTGTTGCTTCGTTCTTAACTCACGCAATATATTATATAGCAATATAATATGTTGTTCTTTCTTTCTTTCTTTCTTAAATTAAGAAACCTACACGCAATATATCAATATAATATGTTGTTGCTTCGTTCTCAAGAGATCAACTGGATCCAATGGAAAAATAATATGCAAGTCAATATAGACATTTCTTAGCCTATATCAATAATATAACAATATGTTGTTGCTTCGTTCTTAAGAACTCACGCAATATATATATCAACATAATTTTCCTTCGTTCTCAAGAGACCACGTAAATAACACGGGAACGTGAAGATCCTTATATCAATAATAATATAGTATGTTGTTGCTTCGTTCTTAAGAAATCACGCAATATAGGCTATCAATATAATATGTTGTTCGTTCATTCGGTTAAGAAATCACGCAATACAGCAAAGCATAGGCTAATATGCTATATACGTCGTTGCTTAATTCGTTCTCAAGAGACGCGCAATATATCAATATAGCTAATATAGCACTTGCTTCGTTTTCAAAAACCACGCAATATATCATATAGCAATATAATATGTTGTAGTTTCTTTCTTAAGAAACCTACACGCAATATATCAATGTAATATGTTGTTTCTTCGTTCTCAAGAGACCACGTATATAACAGGGGAAGGGAAAGATCCTTATATCGATATGATATAATATGTTGTTGCTTCGTTCTTAAGAAATCACGCAATATACTATTAATATAATATGTTGTTGGTTCGTTCAGTTAAGAAACTCATCACGCAATATAGCAAAGCATAATATGCTATATATGTCGTTGCTTCGTTTTCAAAAACCACGCAATATATCATATATAAATATAATATGTTGTTCTTTCTCTCTTAAAGTCTTGTTTACACTACAAGCCTTGGCCTGGCCTTGGCCTACATTTTGGCAGTGTAAACACACTTTGGCCTAGCCTTGGCCTGACCTATAGGCCAGCAAATCTGGGCCAACTACAACCGGTGCCCAGGTCTGGCCTACGCTTGTGGGAATGTTTTACACTTAC